GTATTGGGAGTGTTATATTTGTATACCAATAATAATAATAATAATAATAATAATAATAATAATAATAATAATTTTGTGTTTGGTGTTATATTTCTCCCTTATGGAGAGAAAGACAGGACAGAAATAATAATAATAATAATAATAATAATAATAATAATTTTGTATTGGCCATGTTATGGGAAGAAAGTCAGAAGACAAATAATAATAATAATAGTTTTGTTTTGGCTATGTTATATTTGTCCTTTAGGGGAGAAATTCAGAATAGAAATAATAATAATAATAATAATAATAATAATAATAATAATAATAATAATTTTGTATTGGCCATGTTATATTTGTCTCTTATGGGAATAAAGTCAGAATAGAAACAACAACAACAACTTTGTATTGGGAGTGTTATATTTGTATACCAATTATTATTATTATTATTATTATTATTATTATTATTATTATTTTGTGTTTGGTGTTATATTTCTCCCTTATGGGGAGAAAAACAGGAGAGAAATCATAATGATGATGACGATGATTATAATTTTCTACTGGGCGTGTTCTATTTGCCCCTTGTGGAGAGAAAAGTGGGATAGAAATCAGAATAATGACAACAAGAACAATCCCGAGCTATTCTGCTGGGTGGTGAGGCGTCCCGGCTTCGGAGGTGGGCACTGCCGGATGCTCTCTCTGGCTTGCAACTCCTGGCTGCCTGGCAAGTCCGGGCCGAGCCTTCTGCTTCCAGAGCGGAGCCCCGGACTTGAAGTCCTCATCCAAGCAGCCGGGGGTCCTTCCTTTGTAGCCTCGCGCGACGAAAGCGGGGAAAAGTGCGGATGTCCCGGGCCAGGTGCGCTAGGTGGGGCTCTAAGGCTGGCTCGAGACCAACAAAGAAAGAAAGAAATTGAACGAAGACGTCGTCGCCGTCGAACGTTTCATGGCCGGAATCCCTGGGTTGCTCTGAGTTTTCCCCGGCTGTCTGGCCATGTTCCAGAAGCATTCTCTCCTGACGTTTCGCCCACATCTATGGCAGGCACCCTCAGAGGTTGTGAGGTCTGTTGGAAACTAGGCAAGTGGGAGTTTTATATATCTGTGGAATGATGTCCAGGGTGGGAGAAAGAACTCTTGTCTGCTTGAGGCAAGTGTGAATGTTGCCATTGGCCACCTTGATTAGCATTGAATGGCCTTGCAGCTTCAAAGCCTGGCTGCTTCCTGCCTGGAGGGGGAATCCTTTGTTGGGAGGTTAGCTACCAGGCTTTGAAGCTGCAAGGCTATTCAATACCAATCAAGCTGGCCAACAGCAACGTTCACACTTGCCTCCGACAGACAACAGAGTTCTTTCTCCCACCCTGGATATTATTCCATATTATATATAATGCCCACTTGCAACCCAGTGATTCCGGCCATGAAAGATTTCAGCAACTCATCATCAACATCATCATCATCATCACCATCATCATCATCATCATCATTATTATAGATTGGAAGGAAGCAGCCAGGCTTTGAAGCTGCAAGGCTATTCAATGCCAATCAAGCTGGCCAATAGCAACATTCACACTTGCCTCCAACAGACAACAGATTTTTTTTTTCTCCCATCCTGGACATTATTTCACATTATATATAAAGCCCACTTGAAACCCAGTGATTCCGGCCATGAAAGATTTCAGCAACTCATTATTATTATTATTATTATTATTATTATTATTATTATAAATTGGAAGGAAGCAGACAGGCTTTGAAGCTGCAAGGCTATTCAATGCCAATCAAGCTGGCCAATAGCAACATTCACACTTGCCTCCAACAGACAACAGATTTTTTTTTCTCCCATCCTGGACATTATTTCACATTATATATAAAGCCCACTTGAAACCCAGTGATTCCGGCCATGAAAGATTTCAGCAACTCATTATTATTATTATTATTATTATTATTATTATTATTATAAATTGGAAGGAAGCAGACAGGCTTTGAAGCTGCAAGGCTATTCAATGCCAATCAAGCTGGCCAATAGCAACATTCACACTTGCCTCCAACAGACAACAGATTTTTTTCTCCCATCCTGGACATTATTTCACATTATTTATAAAACCCACTTGTCTAGTTTCCAGCAGACCTCACAACCTCTGAGGATGCCTGCCATAGATGTGGATGAAACGTCAGGAGAGAATGCTTCTGGAACATGGCCAGACAGCCCAGAAACCTCACCACAACCCAATACAGTGATTCCAGTCATGAAAGCTTCGACAACACATTATTATTATTATTATTATTATTATTATTATTATTATTATTGATTAGAAGGAAGCAGCCAGGCTTTGAAACTACAAGGCTAATAAATGCTAATCAAGCTGCACAGTTGCCTCAAGCAGACAACAGTTCTTTCTCCCACCCTGGACATTATACCACAGGTATCTAAATCCCACTTGCCTAGTTTCCAACGGACCGCACAATCTCTGAGGATGCCTGCCATAGATGTAGGCAAAACGTCAGGAGAGAATGCTTCTGTAACGTGGCCAGACAGCACAGAAAACTCAGAGCAACCCAGTGATTCTGGCCATGAAAGCCTTCGACAACACATTATTATTATTACTACCACTATTATTATTTTACTGACACAAAAACACAGTATGTCATATGAGATCTATATGCTGGATTTCGTATCACAAAATCACAAGTCAAACGCTTCCTAAGCGTCTAGGAATGTGTGATGTATTTTCGAATGATGTGTGCAGATCCAAGTATTATTATTATTATTATTATTATTATTATTATTATGGATTGGGAGGAAGCAGCCAGGCTTTGAAGCTGCAAGGCTATTCGATGCTAATCAAGCTGCACAGTTGCCTCAAGTAGACAAGAATTCTTTCTCCCACACTGGACATCATTCCATATATATATCTTAGCCATCCCCTGCCATGTGTTGCTGTGGCCCAGTCTGGTGATCTAGAAAATAAAATAATGAGAACATGATGGTTTCTAATATATGTAATTTCTTTATGTTTGTGGGTAAACAGTATTTCTTGCTGTTTCTTTGTCAGTGTTAATATGGAGATTGTCTGGTTTGCCTACTCTGGAACATGCAACATATCATTGTCCTTCTTTAGGGGTCCCTTTCAAATCTATGATACTACCTCTCTGTGTGTCTGTGAATCATATCTATCTATATCTATGGCTGGATGGCTCTTTGTCAGGAGGGCTTTGATGATGTTTTCTTGCCCTGGTAAAGGGAGTTGGACTGGATAGCCTTAAGTATTTTCTGGTGGTCATGGGATTCTGTGTGGGAAGTTTGCCCCAGTTCTGTCGTTGGTGGGGTTCAGAATGCTCTTTGATTGTAGATGAACTATAAATCCCAGTAACGACAACTCCCAATTGTCAAGGTCTATTTCCCCAAAACTCCATCTGTGTTCATATTTGGGCATATGGAATATTCGTGCCAAGTTTGGTCCAGATCCATCATTGTTGGGAGTCCACAGTGCTCTTTGGGTGTAGGTGAACTACAAGTCCCAAACTCAAGATCAATGCCCACCAAACCCTTCCAGTATTTTCTGTTGGTCATGGGAGTCCAGGTTTGGTTCAAGCCCATCATTGGTGTTCAGAATGCTCTTTGATTGTAGGTGAACTATAAATCCCAGCAACTACACCTCCCAAATGACAAAATCAATTTTTTAGAGTGATGGTCACTCCTTGGGTTAGTAGGTGTCTTGTGGCCAAATTTGGCGGCAATTCGTTCAGTGGTTTTTGAGTTCTGTTAATCCCACAAACAAACATTACATTTATTTTTAATTTATTTTTTATTTATATATAGAACCCACATGTGGGTTCTGTGTGGGAGGTTTGGTCCAATTCTATCCTTGGTGGGGTTCAGAATGCTCTGTGAACTATAAATCCCAGCAACCTCAAGTCCCAAATGACAAAATCAATCCGCCCCCAACCCCATCAGTATTCAAATTTGGGTGTATCGGATATTTGTGCCAAATTTGGTCCAGTGAATGATGTAGGTGAACTACAACTCCAAAACCAAAGGACACTGCCCACTGTTGGTCATGGGAGAACTGTGTGCCAAGTTTGGTTCCATTCCATCGTTGGTGGGGTTTAGAATGTTCTTTGATTGTAGGTGAACTATAAATCCCAGCAACTACAACTTCCAAAAGACAAAATCATTTTTTTAAAGTGAAGGACATACATTGGGTTGTTAGGTATCTTGTGTACAAATTTGGTGCCAATTTGCCCAGTGGTTTCTGAGTTCTGTTAATCCCACAAACGAACATTACATTTTTATTTATATAGAAGAAGATAGATAGATAGATAGAGATAGATAACTCCACTTGCTTAATGTATTGTCGAAGGCTTTCATGGCTGGAATCACTAGGTTCTTGTGGGTTTTTTTGGGCTATAGAGCCATGTTCTAGAGGCATTTCTCCTGACGTTTCGCCTGCATCTATGGCAAGCATCCTCTACCTCTGAGGATGCTTGCCATGGATGCAGGCGAAACGTCAGGAGAGAATGCCTCTAGAACTTGGCTATATAGCCCGAAAAAACCTACAACAACCCACTTGCTTAGTTTCCAACAGATCTCCCAACCTCAGAGGATGCAGGCGAAACGTCAGGAGAGAATGCCTCTAGAACATGGCCATATAGCCCGAAAAAACCTACAACAACCCACTTGCTTCGTTTCCAACAGACCTCCCAACCTCTGAGGATGTTTGCCACAGATGTGGGCGAAACGTCAGGAGAGAATGCTTCAGGAGCGTGGCCAGACAGCGCGGAAAACTCACAGAAGTCGTCTGGGCGGGGGAGAGGGGGGGAGGAGGGGAGTGCCTCTCTCTCTCTCTCTCTTTTTGGCGGCGTGCGCGCGCATCTGTGCGCGTGGGAAGCGGGCAGGCGCGCGCGCGTGCCTCGCTGCCGCCGCCGGCTGCGAGTGTTGTCCCTCCCCGGAAGGCGATTGGCTGGGGGGGGGGGTGTTTGTCACTCGTCGCGGCGGCCCCGCCCCCTGCCCCCTCCCCTCTCCCCCTCCCTGCCTGCCTGCCTGCCTCCCTCCTTCAATGCCACCCTACTCGTCTCGGGCTGGAGCCCGGAGTTGGGGCAGAGGCGGGCAGGCTCGGCGCAAGGAGTCTCTCTGCGCCGCCTCAGAGCCCGCCGTGGGATGCTCTGGAGAGCCGGCCCGAGCTGGCCCTTCGCCCGAGCCGGCGAGAAGGAGGCGAGGAGGCGTCTGACAAGAAAAGTCCGAGGCGCAGAACTTGGGAAGCTTGGAGCCCGTTGGCGTTGAAAGCCTTGGAAGCGCGGCAAGCACTGAGGGAAAAGGGACCTCCAAGCCATGCCTCCGTCGCGGCAGCCGAGAGGGTTGGATTGCCTGCTGCTCGCCTTCTTCCTCTGCACAGGTAAGCCAAGCGCCGCTCGTTTTCCCTCCAAGTTGGCCTCGGTGTGTGTTCTGTCTCTCTGTGTTTCTCCTCTCCCTTCTTCTTCTGGCCATGCCCCCTGAAGAGTGCAGACAGGCCCTCGACAGGTGGCCAAGGAGCCTCCCTTGCCCTCTCCTTGCATTAGGCATTGCTTTTCCTGTCCCAAGTGGGACAGCAGCCTACAACGTCTTGGCACCCACCAAACCACCTTGGCGCCTGGCTTCCCAGAGTGGGAGCCCTCCTTCCCCTCCACTGCCTTGGCACACTCAAGGCTCAACTTTCTGCCCCTTTCCTTGCCTACAAGGAGAGCCGGGCAGTAAACGTACAGCTCAGAAAACTCACAACAGCCCAATACAGTATTATTATAGAGCCAACAGATCTCTGAGGATCCCTGCCATAGAAGTGGGGGAAACGTCAGGAAAGAATGCTTCTGGAATGTGGCTAGACAGCCTGAAAACTCACAGCAACTCAATACAGTACTATTATAGATTCAACAGATCTCTTAAGATGCCTGCCATAGATGTGGGTGAAACGTCAGGAGAGAATGCTTCTGGAACATAGCCAGACAGCCTGGAAAACTCACAGAAACCCAATACAGTATTATTATAGATCCAACAGATCTCTGAGGGTGCCTGCCATAGATGTGGGTGAAACATCAGGAGAGAATGCTTCTGGAACATAGCCAGACAGCCTGGAAAACTCACAGCAACCCAATACAGTACTATTATAGATTCAACAGATCTCTGAGGATGCCTGCCATAGATGTGGGTGAAATGTCAGGAGAGAATGCTTCTGGAATGTGGCCAGACAGCCTGAAAATTCACAGCAACCCAATACAGTACTATTATAGATTCAACAGATCTCTGAGGATGCCTGCCATAGATGTGGGTGAAACGTCAGGAGAGAATGATTCTGGAACATGCCCATATAGCCCAGGAAAATAACAGCAACCTAATATAGTATTATTATAGCTTCCAACAGACCTAATCACCTCTGAGGGTGCCTGCCATAGATGTGGGCGAAACGTCAGGTGAGAATGCTTCTGGAACATGGCCATACAGCCCAGAAAACTCACAGCAACCCAATAAAATATTATAGTTTCCAACAGACCTCACCACCTCTGAGGATGTCTGCCATAGATGAGAACGTTCTCACAGTCACACCAGAGGCACTCCAAGTGGCCAGCTTCAGCTCAAAGGACATGTTGTACAATGCCACACTTGTAACTTTGTTTGTGGCTTTTGTATGTGTTCTCAATTTGCTTCTGACACGATAAATAAACATAGATTTGTTTCGTACAGAACAACACAGCACAATGCAGATTGGGGCCAAGTGCCTGGGATTGTTGTTGTTGTTGTTACAGGCAGTCCCCAAGTTGCAAACACCTCTTTGTTCAGAACAAAGCTCAGACCATACGAAGTCAAAGGAATCTGATGAGAACTCCCAAAAGAGTTCTCATTAGAGGGAAAAGGTGTCTCCACTGAAGCTTTTTCCACAGTCCTTGTTTCCACAACAAGCCACATTTCTCAAAACCCTATTCACACAGGGACAGAAAGTGAGGGGAAATCTTCTGAACGTTGGCACAGGCAGCAAAGGAAACCCCATTTGGGGGGGGGGGTGTCACTTTTTCCTATGCTTATATATATATAATAGACATTTTTTTTTTACCAGCATCAATTTGCTTGGGCAAATATATATACCTCATGGTAGACTCATGAAACTGGAATAAGCCTTCTCTTCAAACATTTGTGTGTGTGTGTATATATAGCTTTGGATCACAAAGGAAAGAGTGAAACCTATACACACACACACACACACACATACATATGTTATTATGTAAGTATACATATGTAAGCATACATATATACTTATATATACATATGTAATTATTTAAGTATACATATGTAAGTATGCATATGTATATGTGTGTGTGTGTGTGTGTATATATATACATACACATACACACACACACACACATACACACACATATACATATATATGTAAGTCAGAACAGGGACATTTCTTAAGTAACTCCAGCCATATATATGTATATATATATATGTATATATGTATATGTGTGCGTGTGCGTGTGTGTGTGTGTGTGTGTGTGTGTGTGTGTGGCTGGAGTTACTTAAGAAATGTCCCTGTTCCGACTTACATACAAATTCAACTTCAGAGCAAGCTTACAGAACTTGTCTTGTTTGTCACTTGGGGACTGCCTGTATTGTTCTGCTTATTATTATGATTATTATGATGATTCCATCCCAGCCACACAAATGGCAAGCTTCCTCTGAGAACCAAGGGGCCACCCCCACCCCCAGTTATGTTATGTCCCTGTGCCTTTAATGAGCCCAGGGAAGGTTCAACAGGTGAAGTTTCCCCTTCTGTTCTGGCTCCTCTTGCTGCAGTTGAGCCTAGGCTCTTCTGGCCCCTGTGCCGGCATGCCTGGATCTCTGTTGTGTCTGTCGTGTGTGCATGCCTGGCTTGCTGCTGTCAACATGTGCAGGAATCTTCTGCCAGGAACTTGTTAGAAAGCGCCCCTTGAACTGCCTCTGGTTTGGGACAGAAGTCCAAGTAGAAAAGGGCAGGGCAGGGATGGAAGGACCCTTTTGGAAGTCACAGTGCCTCCCGGCGAGGCTTTCTCCACCTGGGGCTCTCCGTTCTTGCATCCTTAGACTTAAGCCTCTGAGGCATTCAATGGAAGTAAGTTTTGTTGGGTCTTTTCCCACAGAGGCTTTTCAAGATCCCTAGATTTTTATTGGATTGCAAGGTACAGTGCTTTGATATTGTACTAGGACACTGGAAGATCAGTGTTTGAAACCCCGCTTGGCCATGGAAACCTAAAGGGTGACCTTTACCAAGCCGCACTCTCTCAGCCACAGAAGAACGCTCTGAACCACCTCTGAACCAATCTTGCTGAGAAAATCCCATAATAATAATATACATAAAACAATCATAATTTTATAATAAATAATAATTGTTTATTATTATTATGGGTTTTTCTCAGCACGATTAGTGAGAAATAATAATAATAATAATCATAATTTTTGTAATAAAGTAATAAATTTATTTGTTATTATTATTATTGGATTTTCTCAGCAAGATTTGTGTGAAATACTAAGAATAAATAAAATCATATTTTTTGTAATAAAATAATTTGATTTATTATTATTATTATTATTATGAGATTTTCTCAGCAAGATTCATGAGAAATAATAATAATAATAATAATAATAATAAGGGTTGCCATAAGCCAGATAGGACTTGATGCCACAACAGCAACAACATTGGATTGCAGCCCTATCATCCAAATCTTGAGATGATGGGAGATGTAGTCCAACGCATCTACAAGGTTGCAGATGGGGGAGAAATGCAAACCTCTGCTTACAAAGCAAATTTCCCTACACATGCATGCAATCTGTAGCCCTGAATATTTAGAGTGATATAAAAAACCAGACAGATCTTCCTTTGAGGAGATTCTAATTTGAATTTCACAGATAAAGGAGAAACTTCCCTGTCTCGTAGGTAAAAAGAGAGGCAGCCAGCTGTTCCTCTTGGGTTACAGGTGAGCGATGCTATGTGTGCTTACTTGAAAGCAAGGCTTCTTGCTCTGGGCTGAGTTTCATTCCTAATGGAGATCCAGGAAACCACAGATGGTCTTCTGCTTCTGTTAGGTTGATGGTCAGGGCACACCTGGGGATGAGGGAAAGGCTTTGAGGGAAAGTTCCGAATCGTAATTGCCACTGAGAGAGCTTATTGGCAATCTCCACTCTCTCAATTGTAGCGTAAGAGCAAGTTGGTCCCCTCTCCCCCATTTTTAGCCTCACAATAAGCCAGCAAGCTAACTCAGGCAGAGAGATAGTGACCGGCTCAAGGTCACCCAGTACACTTCATGGCCAAGTCGGGATTTGGACTCCCACTTTTCCAGTCCCGGGCCAACAGTCTGTTCACTATTCCCTAACACTGCTTTACGAGCCACCTTGCCTTTTCTATTTTTATTCTTGTGGGTCACTAACAGGACAAGGAGCTGGGGGAAAACATGCTGCTGTGTGGCACCAATGCCATATTTACAACCTTGATGATCAGAGTTGGTCTTTCTTTCCATTTGAGTTTGGTCCCTCTTGGTTGTGATGCCACTAGCTGCTCCGTTTGCTGCTGGCTTTGACACCCACCCTGCTTGATAGTTTGTGCATGGTGTCTCAAAGGAGTCAAGTTTATTTTTCTTTCCGTAAAAGAACCATTTCTTTCCTTTTCATAACTTGGATTGGAATGGGTCATGGCAAGCTTTTCAGCTTCACAGGTTTCTTTAGCATGCATGTTAGTCCTTTGTTAGTAATTTTATAATCTTGTATATTTCGATTACATGCATTGGTCAGTTTGCGTTGTAATGTACTAGCTTTGGTACCCAGTTATAACCGGGTTAGTGATTCTGTAACATTATTCATTGCCGGGGGGGGGGGGGGGGGGGGGGGGGGGGGGGGGGGGGGGGGGGGAGTCATTGTTTGTTTTTGGATTTTATGAATGCTCCCATTCTAACATGCACGAGGATGTGGGTAAACTATAACTCACATCATCATCTGTCATTGCCCCCAAACCTCTTCAGTATTGAAAGTTTGTCTTGATGGGTATGTATGCCAAGTTTGGTGGAGATTCATCCTCAGTGAGGTTGACAGGGTATTTGGAGCCAGATGGACTGCAGTTCCCATTAACCCAAACCTGCCAGTATTTAAAGCTTGTCAAAACTGTCAGTGAGGCTCACAGTGCTCTGTAGATGTGGATGGACTGCAACTCCCATCGTCCTCTGTCATTGCCCTTCAAACCCCAGCAATATTTAAAGTTGGTCATGATGGATATGTGTGCCAGGATTTTTTTTAGTTCCATCATCAGTGGGGTTCACTGGGCTCTCAGCATGTGGGTGGACTGCAACTCCCATCATCCTCTGTCATTGCCACCAAAAATCCACCATTATTGAAAATTGGTCA